ATCGGCGCCAACGCCGCCGCAGGGAGGGGGTTGGACATGGTGGCGGCGGCGGCGGCGCAAGTGGTATCGAGAGATTCCGAAGGCGAGGGGGTGCAGGGAGATTCGGCGCCAGTGGCGGCCTGCGCGGAGACTGCGGCGGCGGCGGCGGCGGCGGCACGAAACGGCGAGGTAAGCGCGTGCGTGGGGGGCACCATCCACATATTACGTCGTGACCGTGAGGGGGGAGGCGTTGAGCTTGCTGGAACTCGTTTTGTGGCCTGGATTATCAAAAGAGTGCGGGGATATGTTCCCCGCCCTTGAATAGAACCCCGAGCGGTAGAAAACTGTCAAACAGACCATGCACGTCTTGCGCAAAGCCAGCCCACCCCTCCCCACAGCGCGCCCAGTGAACATGTGTTGACCAACGTGTGCCACTGCTCTCCGTTGTTCCCCCTGCACGCGCTCTCTCGCGCCCAATCGCTCTTTGACCCGCATGGTTGCCGACATGCCTGCCTGCCCTCTCGACTAACTAACCGAGTGGTCCGTTAGAGGACTGCCTACGCAAAGAAAGTAGGGTTATTGCGGGAAAAAGACGAGACAGGGGGCACGCAGACCGTAACCCCAACTTAAGCCAGCCGATTCTACGCTTTATCCAGTACATTTGCTTACTTTCGAAAACCTGCTAGACTACTGCCTTTAAAACCTGCCCACCGGCGTAATGATTTGTCTCCAGGCGAATACCCGGTCGATACAGGGGGAGCAGCAGCGAGACGCCACCGGGCCACATACAAATCTAAGCCCCGTCCCCTCTAATAAACGCCCACGGTCGAATTTCCGGTGATGTACAAATATAAATGGTTTTTGAGGGGTGTGGTGGTAGGTTCATCGCCTTTGGTGACCATTCGCTGCTTCTGCTGTGTATAGGGTAAGAAGCGCGGGAGAGAGAGAACCACAGCGAGAGAAGGCACTGATTTTTGGTTCTCTCCCGGTTGTTTATTTGTTTGTGTTGCTTGATTTTGTTTTGTACATTCGTTTTGTAGGTCGGTCGAGGTTCTTAGGTGTTGTGGTGGGTGATGATGGAGCGGTAGACGCTGCGTCCTGTTGTCCCGTCTGTTTTTTGTGCGGTTTGTCGTGCTCGGTCCGGCGTGTGAAGGTGTTACTCTCCGTTGACGGTTGCTTGTTTGGGGGGGGGGGGGGGGGGGGGATACAACGCCAAGGGGGGGGGGGGGGG